GTGTTGCATTAAAGCCTGAACAGTGTGTGAAAGTTCTTTAAAGTTCTAAAATAATGCTGACTATTGTCATTTTGAAGATTTAAGTAGTTTTAAATATTTAAAGAAAAAGAAAATATATAATACAAACAGGTTTTTTGTGCTTCTTCTGTGGGCAATTACAGTTCAGACTAATAATGATGATACTCTTAATGAGAAAGTTAATTTGCGCAAGAAATGCAACTTATGTTCGTCCATTGAGAAATCTATTTACTAATAAATCTATTACTTCTAATAACAATAAACCTTATTTAAATAGTACTTACTGCACAAGAAAAAGTAAAGATAAAAAATTGTTGGAGAGAAATTAATCAAATGTTCAAAAAAGACAAGAGTAAAGGAGAGTTGAATAATTTAAGGCTAATTTCACAGAATTCGCGATATTATAAAACATTATCATCAGGGTTGGTGTTTGGGGTCTGCATACGAGCAGTGTGGACCTGGTCTATCGTTTTCTTTTTCCCGTACAGAAACGGCCGACTCGAAACCGAAGCTGTTTATCCTGAGTCCTCTGCATCCTGAGGGGAAGCCACTGAGCGAAATGGCCGACGAGTTTGTTTGGCTACTAATATCAAAAATAAGGATGATCAAATGGATCTGAATGTGAAGGACGGTAAGGTCTCTATGAACACCACCAGTGCCACTGTGTCCCCGAAAGACGATGCCTACGTCTACGCTGGATTCACCAATCAGACCATCTACTCCTGTGAACTGAACGGCACGTCGTCCAACAACGACAACGGTACGAAGGCTTCTACGATAACATTCAAAATAACTGAACTGTTAAACTCTGAGTTCTGACTGTTGTGCTTCAGTAAGTTTTAAACTTTCTGGAAAGTCAGCAGTAAATCTTTGGTCTGACTCTCAGTGCTTTTGACTTGTTAACATGTGTTTTTTTTTACTTTTTCTGTTATCAGATGTTTTACTCAAGCCTCCACTTTGTTCGCTGTCAGGGTTTGTGCCCTGTGTGACTTCCTTTTGTTAACTAACGTAATATTTTGAGACTCAGTTTGGGGGCCCTCACTTTGAAAACCTCTGCTCTATAAGAGATGAGTGAGAGTTCAGTAAATCTCAACTTGTTGAGAAGAATTTTCAACAATTATTATTGTATGTACGGATGTTTCTGTGTGTTTTCTTTGTGTCTCTGACTGATGTGTTTTCTGTTTTTATCAACCAGTTGGCCTCTGTGCAGACCTTCATCCAGGTGAGTCACCAAAGCAGACTGTAGCAAAGCTTTTAACAAGTCCGTCAGTGTTAGCAAGTCACCGATTGATGTTAGAAATCTGTTCAACATGTGTTTCTCTCTCTCCTGTGCAGAGAAAGCCAAGCCGAACTTCTACCTGCTGATAATGAACGGATTGAGAGTGTTGTTCACCAAAAGTCTGGCCTTCAGCACCATCCTCACCATCAGAGCTGCACTGACCTAACACTGAGGTCAAAGCAACTTGTTTTATTTCTTTACATTTTACAGTGGCCTGTAAGGACAAAAGACACGTAAGGACATTAAGAAAAATTCTCCCCAGTAAAAGTTTTTCATGTATTTATTTTTATACTTCTTGCAATTTGGGATTTTTTTTTTTACTCTCATTGTTTGAGAAGCACAAACACAGAGTGAAAACTAAACGTTTTAGCGTTTTGTTCTTTGTTTTAGCATTTTTTTGATTTAGAGCACACTTTCTGTTTTTGCTGTTTGTGCTTTTTTGAATTTGGAGCACATTTCTGTTAATGGTTGTTGTCTCTCTTGTGGTATTTGGGTTTGATAGGAAGTGTGCTTTGGGTGCATTTCCTCAGTGTTTTTCTCATGTATGTGTTTTCTCCTCAGAGGCCACTGTAGAAACTTCCTTCCTCCCTTTAAATAAAACTTGTAAGGTGTAACTTTTACTTCTGACCAGTGTAAAAAGCTTTCACTGTGATTTATTATTGGTATCCTTTTTAAATGTTTTCAAGTGTATTAAATATTTTCTATCATCTCATGTGATTTCTGTAACAGTGTTTGTGTTTATTTAGTGTTTATCTAAATTGTGTTGCTGAATTGATTGATTTTTTTTTGTGTCAGTTTAAGATGTGTTTCAAAATGTTTCTTGTTTATTTCTAATAAAGGTTCAGAAGCTATAATTCGTTTTTTTTGGATCGTCTTTGCTTGTGTTTGTGAGCAGGATGAAAAAGCAGCGGGTTGCTAATCTTCAGGAAACCAGCAGTTTTCTGCGGAGTCCTGTTCTGCCGTGCTTCTGCTGGTTTGTTGCAGAACCAGTGACGTATTTTATTTTCCAGTCCGTTGACACATATTTACGCAGATGAGAATATTTCATACAGTAGATCATGGAATCCTTATAAACAGACCTGCAGTGGTGTTGATATTTGTCAAATCAAGATTTCTCCTCTTTAACCTCGATAACACATAGACTACCTCAGGAGTTCAGTTCTGGGCCCAATATGATTTTCTTTATATATGTTTCACCTTCTGACTTCAGGGACAAGAAGAATTAAGAATTACTTAATTCTTAAGAATAAACCTACAGGAAAGTGCTGGCCTCAAAGAGTTTATTTCAACAAGAATTGCCTGCAGTCACATTATATACCACCATGAAGCTGCATTATTGTTACACAGAGATACTCAGATTTATCTCCCAGTAACCTCCCGGGTGTGTTAAAGGTCTATCTGTGTTCCCAGGACCAGATTTGGCTTATGTGTTTTAATTTTGGCTGCAAATTCTTGAACAGTGAGCTCTCTCTCTGTCTGTCTGTGAGTTTCTGTTTCAGAGTGTCTGTTGGTTTTCAGTGCAGCAGTTGAAACCACATTTCAACAGAAAGCTGAAACCATCACAACAGTCTAACCAAAAAGTGCAGATAAAGATCAGACAGGAACCAAACAGCAGCTCAGTTTCACGTCAACAGAAAACTCTGTTTGCTCTGTCTGTTCACTGCCAGATTTGAAAATGTGTTCAGTGAGACTTGTTAAACTCTGCTTTCAATCAGACAGGCTGAGTCCAACATTAAAATAAAAAGAAAACAGATTAAACAAGGTATTTTTAAGTTCATTAAATCACCTTCAATACCACAAGCAGCCTGTATGAAAGAAATAGATAATGGAAAATGTGCCTAAACATGTGTTAAGTGATTAAAGATCAAGGAGCAAGGTAGTTGTACCACAAAATGAAAGGTTGCAGTTCCTGTATGCTTCACACATAGAACATAACATAATTAAATTTATATAACAGAGTAACATATAAAATAAAACTATATAGGTCTGAACAGTTGTTTATATACATACATGTGCGTTTGAGCACCAAGCATCATTGATGTGGAGTCTGACAGCTCATAACGCAGTCCGCCCAGCGAGTGCTGGATCCGGGATGTTGACGAGTAAGTTTCTATAAAGATGTTGGCACAAAACGTTTTAATTGGTCTGTTTTTTCACTTTCAATCCAAATAAAGTTCCACAGAACTGAACAGAAAATCTCTGCGCTGGTTTGTTTAAGGAAAATTATGTTTGTTATTATAAATCTGGGTCTTATGTTAATATAAGACCCACATACAGCTTTTTCTGCAGAGACACACTTTAAGCTTTACAACTTTTGGACAAGTGGATTTAGACCGAAGCATCCTCACTGAATAAATTAATTATATATTAATTATAAAATAAAGTTTTCTACAACTGCAATAACCTGCAACACATACTGTGTTGTATTTCTGCACTGAAGAGCAGTGTGCAGGGACAGAGGCAGGGAGGATACAGCATAATAATTAATTACACATGTGATATGTGGAGCACTCGCCCCATGTACAAAAGAGGCCTTGTCCCTGAAACAGGACCCATACACATGCATGAACACATGAAGCAGTCAGGGGTTCAGAGCCTTGCTCATGGGCACCTTGAACCAGGAGGGGAACTGGTATCACTCCAGGTATCACTCCACGCTCTGTATAACTGGTCCGTGCTGGACTGGCAAAGCTCCAGTTCCCAAGCCAAGTCAGTCACAGACTGAGCTACTGCCGACCCTCCCAAGGTGCTCCTCACATGTTATCTCTATCTGAGCAAAGGTTACACTGTGAAAATATGATTCTTTTTAGTTTCATTTAAAACAGTCAGGCCCTCTTCAGTGTTGAAACACTACATATGTCACAATTTATATCATAAGGCAGGAAAACACAGAATGCAAACTCCCAAAACAAATACAGGGGGCAGGATTTCAGCGTGCTCTGTGGGAGCTATGGTCCAATCAGATTCTTGATTCAGTTAGTAAGAGGTCAGTTTGGACTTCTGTTGCGCACTCACCTAAACTCATAATAACATATGTTTAATATCTATATGCAGCTCAAACATGATCTCAGAAAACATCAACTGATGGAGCCTCAGAGAGAGGCTGACATCTAGTGGACGACAGAGTGTTTTTCAGTTTAAATCCAAGTCCGTGTTTGAACTTTGATGCAATGTGTAGTCAGAAGTCTGCAAATTAATGTAAATATTAAAAAAACAACAACTGTTTTTTAACCAGAAAAAATACATATACATTTTTATAATACTTTTTTCTTGCTTCAAGAGGATTTAAGACTCAGTGGAGATAAATCTGAGATTTAGTGATATGATGGACAGTTTTTCTGCTTCCCACAGCATGACTGTAGGGGAGACGGGCTGGTTGATTCGTTAAACTATTGTGGATCTCTTGACGTCACCAATGATGTCAGACAGTTGCAAAATAACTTTTAAAAAGAACCTTCTCTTCTATAAAGTCAATATAAACCATGTTAGCCAGCAAGCATGCCAAATGTGATCCATCCAATCAGTCTGTTCCAGACCGAATGATATTGTCCTCTCCAGCCGAGGCTACCCACAAATGGTGGACTGGTCCCACGGTAGACATTCAAACCATCTGAACCAATGAGGTTGGCACCTGGTAAACTCCAATCAAATCCTGACAAAAGGACAAGCAGCACCTGGTAATGATTGTCCAGACCGGCCACGGTTTGCTTCATGGTACACTATGCTAACAGAAGCTACAGTACAGGGAACAAGTTGGACTATATTCTAACTGCTCAACAAGGAATTGGTGAGCGTTAAAATGTGTGCAGCAATTATGTGGCTCTGCTAGCATACATGCTAATATGACCACAAGTGAGTGAGTGATGATTGCTGACATCCTGTGGTGAGAAGACGCTTTAAGTTGTTGAACATCGGTAAGAAAAATATTCTTAGTCTATATATTTTTGAGCACATTAATTAAACACAATAAAGTCAATGTTTAAGGCAATACTCTATACTTTCATCATGTGGAAAGCCAAACCAACAGTAAATGTATCCACTGACAGTCCTGTGTGTCTGAAGCCTGATGTCTCTCCTTCCTCTGAGCCATACAGCCCCATTGTTGCCTAAACTATTAAAACCCATCAGTGGGCCTCACTGCTGCACTGGGTCACATGTTCCTTCATCAAAATGAACACACAAACTGTAGTTTATTCTGACTGCACATACACTGTCCTGTTGCCCCAAATACTCAGTAGAGCACCTGAGTGCTCCATGAGTTTTTAAACTCATAAACTTGGCTGTAGAATGAATCGTATGTAATTGCAACTATTTGGAAACTGATTAAATAATATAACAGTATCATCTGTGTGCATCTGAAAACATTTCTGTTAAATGAATGAAGAAGTTGGAATTTAAAAATACACATTTGGAGCTGGTGTTTCCTCTCGGAATCAATTTTTTTTAGGCCGCAGGTGGAGTTTGGTTCAGAAACAGGTCACATCAGTTGTGCTCTTTCCTTCTGCCTGTTACAGAAACTATACGTTTACTCCTGGAGGAGGTTTTATCTCAGAGAAGAAAAAGCTGAAGAGGAGTCGTGAACCTGATAATCACCCGCACGGATCAACAAGCATTTCTACACAGAGGTACTACTGCTTGACTCGATGTTACTGATACTAGGGTAACACTCAGTGACAGTTTCATGCTGTGCAGAAGAACCACTGGATGACATGAAGTCAGGGCCTCGGTCTGTTCTTGTTGGATTGTCGTACAGGATCCAACCCCCTCCCTGTCAATGTGGGAATTAGGGGGCAGGATCCAAAACACAGTGGTGAAGTGTAAAAGAAGGCAAGGTTTAACTTTTCCCTCAGCTTTGTTTTTTCATTCTTCACAAAACTATGAATCTTCCAGAGTTGTTGGAGAGAGATCCGAGAGGCAGCCAGGAGGACGATGTGCCAGCAGGCTTTTCACCCCACCTTCAAATGTGCAGATTGCAGAAGTGGACAACAAGTCACATTATATTAAAAGCCTTTGATACAGTCGACCATGCTTCACTTTTACAATGATGATCCTCTGTCTGTGATTTGGTCAAGAACTATTTATCAGACCGACAGTCTGTGAAAGTCAGGAAATTTGAATTCTTGCAGGTTACTAAAGGCTGACTATGTCAAAAGGTGTTTGTAACTGTCTGAATGTCCACACTGGAAGGAGGTGTGAAAGCCTGCTGTGATAGAGACTGTCTACATTCTGGAAGACATTCATGGTGTTGCACTGACAGAGAAGTCCAAACCTTGTCTACTTTCACATCTTCATACACGACCAGTCTCCTGGCGTTATTGTCGCATTGTCTGTTTCTAAAAGTTACAAAAATGTTCAATTCCACCATCAGAAGGGGGGGTTTCAGATGTTTAATGATCCGACAAATACTTCGTTCAAGCAGCAAGACACCATAAGGGTGTGCCACAGGGATGGAAATGGGGCCCTCTTCTGTTTTATTTTGTCTTTTCCAGGTGTACTTGTCAAATTCATCTTTATGCAGATGATACTCTTGTTTAGCCTAATAATCAGGCTAGTTTGTAATTTCATTTTCCTACATTCTTCAGTGTGGCATTGGATTCACATAAGATATTTCCAACAGAGTTAAATTGGGAACAGTTCCATGACTTCCACTTGAGTTACAAGTTAAGATGTTTTCCTTAAACACATGATGGATGGCTTTCAGACAGTGTAGTCGCAGGTGAATCTCTCTGTTTACTTCTAGTTCCGAGTCATAATTTGCATAAACGATGATGTTGGAAAAGTAAATCTTAGACTCGTTTGGTTTCTGCCCGTTAGCTTTCATATCACACATGTTTAAAGGAGGTGAAGCTTGAGTTTGGACACTGTGTACAAGCCTGAAATGGATTATTGGATACTGCAGTCAGTCAGGACAACTGCCTCATCGACTTGATATGTTGTTTTTGGTCTTGAGATGTGGACGTAAAAAGAAGAGGAGCTGAAACATACACTGAAGTCAGCGTGGAGGAGCGGCTGGGTGAGTTTCTAAAGATTCAAACAAACCTGTTGCTTTTAGCAAACTGCACAACCTGCTGTAGAGGACTGCAAAAGGAAAATTTTAGTCTTTGCTAGATGATCAAAGCTACCTTATACGTTAAACACTATTTAATAGCGCAGAGCTGTTTCAAACAACCATCACAAAACATGTGTCCACATCAATGAAAAAACACAAGAAAAAGAGGTATGAAAATATAAGTTGAGACAAAATGAGAATAAAAATACACGTTAAAGTCACAGCAGAGATTTAAAAAACAGAAACAAACTCACTCAATCAATGATAATCTAAATTCTTGAATCAGTGTGAGTGCAGCAGTATTTGTCACAGTGTTTGTTACAGTGTGAATAATCAGAGAACAGATAAGCTTTACTTCGGTAGTGGAACCAAACTGACTGTTGAAACTGGTAAGATTCATATTTTCTATGGATTATGATGGAAATTTAAAATGTTGATAGAACTTGTATATTAGTAATATCAGTACAGCTGATAAAACATCTGTAGAGTTTGCAAACTAACATGAATACATTCAGGCTGCAGATTGTACATCAATAAAGTGAACAATAAAAATCCCAATTAACAATGAAAATTAAAAATCTACATACAGGATCAAACTTTTGTAACTGTATAAACTAACAGCAGCAAAAATATGACTGAAACTTAAGAGAAATGCAAACATTTATATAATAGCTGTGCAAATAAACTGTGAAATATGAAATAATAAAATAAACATTAAAATGAGGATTGATGGACAAACACAACATAGAAAATGTTAAATAAATATAAATTAAGAGGCAGCATATCACACAGCAGTATTTGTCACAGTGTGTGTTACAGTGTGACTAATCAGGGAGAAAAACTTTACTTCGGCAGTGGAACCAAACTGACTGTTGAAACTGGTAAGATTCATGTTTTTAATGGTTTCACACTTTAAAATGTGTCAATAGAACTTGTTCATTGATCATTTTGATTTAGTTTATGTTTGAGTTTTTTAGAGTTTGAGGCAAACTGACCTGAACACATGCAGACCGCAGACTCTCCAGCAGTTATTCTGTATTTAGGGAACTATCACAGAATCCTGATGAGTAACGCTGATTTTAAATGTTAAAGAACAAACAACAGGATCAAACTGAGCTTTGACCTGAAAACATCTCCAGTAAATGCAGATCAGTGAATAAATGCAACATAAAAGTGGATAAAAATATGAATTGAGAGTAAAAATTTCTATTAAAAGCCAAAGCCAATGAAAAACAGTGAAAACAGTCAATAAATATCAGGATTTCTTGCATCAGTGTGAGAGCAGCGGTATTTGTCACAGTGTAAGTTGCAGTGTGAATAATCAGAGAGACAAACTTTACTTCGGCAGTGGAACCAAACTGACTGTCGAAACTGGTGAGATTAATATTTTATTTATGGCTTTGCACTTTTAACGTTGATAGAACTGGTACATGTTATTTGCGTTTATTGCATTTTTGTGGAGTTTGATTGATGCAAACTGACCTAGACACATGCAGACCGCAGACTGAACATCAATAAATAAAATAAAATAAAAATCCTCATGTGTAGCAGTGACTCCAAAAGTTAGAAACAATCAACATCTGGTTTAAACTCTAAACAGAATCACAGAGCAATCATGGAAATTTCTCCAGTAAATGCAGATCAGTTAATTAATGCAACATAAAAGCGGATAAAAAATATAAACTGATAGACAACACGAGTAAAACTTATCATTAAAAGCCAAAGAAATGAAAAAGAGAAAACAATCAATGAATATTGGAGGATTTCTTGCATCAGTGTGAGAGCAGCAGTATTTGTCACAGCGGTTGGTACAGTGTGAATACTCAGGGAGGAGAAAAACTTTACTTCGGCAGTGGAACCAAACTGACTGTTGAAACTGGTAAGATTAATATTTTATATGGTTTTACACTTCGAAATGTATGGATTGAAGCCTTCATCTGCTGATTTATTTGCATTATTCAATTTGATTGATAAAGACTGAGCTGGGCACATGCAGGCTACAGAATGTACATCAGAAAATAAAATATTAATGAATAATGATGATTTTAAAAGTGAAAAACAAATGTGAAACAGGATTCAAACTGGTTTAAAACTGTAAAAACCAACAGACGCAGAGAGAAAACTCAGTTAAAATAGTGCTGTGTATTGGTGCAGCTGATGTTTGACACCATCACAAAAAGACAAGTTGATATTCAAATGAAAAGCAGTGAATTAACAACATAAACGTGGACAAAAATTCAAGAAGATACGTGATTGTAAATGAACATTAAAAGTTTCAGATTAAATGCAGCATCAGTGTGAGTGCAGGAGTATTTGTTACAGTGTGTGTTACAGTGTGAATGCTCAGGGAGGGAACAGACTTTACTTCGGCAGTGGAACCAAACTGACTGTTCAAACTGGTAAGATTAATATTATTTATGGTTTTTGTACTTTAAAATGTTGATAGAACTGGTATATTTAGACATTACAGTGCAGTTTATTCAGTTTTGTGGCATTTGATTGATGCAAACTGACATGAACACATGCAGGCTGCAGACCGTACATCAATAAATAAATTAAAAATCCTCAAGTGTAGCAATAAATGTAAAAATTTAACACAAACAACTTGATCAAACTGGTTTAAAACTTTGAAAACAGCAGAATCAAAGAGCAATGATAGAAACATCTCCACTAAATGCATATAAGGGAATAAAAATATAAATGGAGAGACGACACAAGTAAAACTAATCATTAAAAGCCAAAGCAAATGAAAAACAGAGAACAATCAATGATAATCAGGATTTCTTGCATCAGTGTAAGTGCAGCAGTATTTGTCACAGTGTGTGTTGCAGTGTGAATAATCAGGCAAACAAACTTTACTTTGGCAGTGGAACCAAACTGACTGTTGAAACTGGTAAGAATAATATTTTTTATGGTTTTACACCTCCAAATGTTTTGAAAGTGAGACTTCATCAGACAATTTATTTGTTTTGTTTGATTTAATTGATACACACTGAGCTGGACACATGTAGGCTGCAAAATGTACATCAGTAAAAAAAAATCCTTGCATGTAGCAGTGAATCTAAAAACGAACAACTGGATAAACGTGGTTTAAACTTTAGAAAACAACAGAGAAAATTGTGAAATGTGACCTGGAAACATCTTCAGTAAATGCAGATCAGTGAATTAATGCAACATAAAAGTGGATAAAAATATAAATGGATAGACAACATGAGAGTAAAACTAAACATTAAAAGCCAAAGAAATGAAAAACAGAGAAAACAATCAATAAATATCAGGATTTCTGGCATCAGTGTGAGAGCAGCAGTATTTGTCACAGCGGGTGATACAGTGTGAATACTCAGGGAAGAGAAAAACTTTACTTCGGCACTGGAACCAAACTGACTGTTGAATCTGGTAAGATTAATATTTTTTATGGTTTTACTCTTAAATGTTTTGATAGAGAGCCTTCATCTGCCGATTTATTTGCATTATTCAGTTTAATTGATACAGACTGAGCTGCGGAACAGCGGAAAATAAAATCTTAATGAGTAATTATGAATTTAAAGTTAAAAACAAACGTGAAACAGGAATCAAACTGGTTTAAACTGTAAAAACCAACAGACGCAGAGAGAAAACATCAGCTGCACCAATACACAGCACTATCTTAACTATCACAAAAGACAAGTTTATTTTGAAAAGAAAAGAACATAAAAGTGCATGAAAATATGAAACGAGGCAACAGGAATATAAATGAACATAAAAAGTTACAGATTAAATGCAGCATCAGTGAGAGCAGCAGTATTTGTCACAGTGTGTGTTACAGTGTGACTAATCAGGGAAACAAACTTTACTTCGGCAGTGGAACCAAACTGACTGTTCAAACTGGTAAGATTAATATCTTTTAAGGTTGTACTTTAAAATGTTGATAGAACTCGTATATTTAGACATTTCAGTGCAGTTTATTCAATTTTTCAGCATTCGAATGATGCAAACTGACCTGAACTCATGCAGGCTGCAGACTGGACCTCAATAAATAAAATAAAGTCCAGTAAATGCAAATCAGTGAATATATGCAAAATAAAAGTGGATAAATATATATAGAGAGACGACATGAGTAAAACTAAACATTAAAAGCCAAAGCAAATGAAAAACAGAGAAAACTATTAATAATATTCAGGATTTCTTGCATCAGTGTGAGTGCAGCAGTATTTGTCACAGTGTGTGTTACAGTGTGAATAATCAGGGAGTTAACAAACTTTACTTCGGCAGTGGAACCAAACTGACTGTTGAAACTGGTAAGATTAATGTTTTTTATGGTTTTACACTTCCCGGTTTGTTGATAGTGACTAAATGCAACATAAAAGTGGATAGAAATATAAATTTAGAGATGAATCGAGTAAAACTAAACATTAAAAGCCAAAACAAATGAAAAACAGAGAAAACAATTAATAAGGATTCAGGATTTCGTGCATCAGAGTCAGTGCAGTCGTATTTGTCACAGAGTTTGTTACGGTGTGAATAATCAGGCAGGAAACAAACTTTACTTCGGCAGCGGAACCAAACTGACTGTTGAAACTGGTAAGATTAATATATTTTATGGTTTTATACTTTCAAATGTTGATAGAACTCGTATATTTAGACATTTCAGTGCAGTTTATTCCGTTTTTCAGAATTCGAATGATGCAAACTGACCTGAACTCATGCAGGCTGCAGACTGTGCATCAATAAATAAAATAAAGTCCAGTAAATGCAGATCAGTGAATATATGCAACATAAAAGTGGATAAATATATGTAGAGAGAGACGACATGAGTAAAACTAAACATTAAAAGCCAAAGCAAATAAAAAGCAGAGAAAACAATCAATGATAATCAGGATTTCGTGCATCAGAGTCAGTGCAGTCGTATTTGTC